GACGCTGCCATTGCTGGTCTCTTGCCATGGCAAGCCTTTATTCTTGAATTGCGGCTTCTTCCTGGGAAGTGCAATTTATCTTCAGGTGTGCAATGGCTACATATGGTAAGCCGCGATCTGTACACTAGCTTGTATAATCGCAAGGTATCACGGAGCAGAAAGTGGAAGTTGCATGTAGTGGGATTTATTAAGTTTCTTACGCACAAGCGCATCCATGATGATGATAGTTTTCTGATAGCCCACATCGACTTCTATGGCACGTACCTGTTTGCTGAAACAACCGTTTCCCTCATTTCTAGCGCGATAGCATTAAAGGGACCCTAAAATGGTTTTGATGATTTTGTACAAACACATTGAGCCAGTAGACCAGGTCCTAAGGGTCATTTACAGACTGATTTAAGCTTTCTGCATAAACTGCGTAGTTTAATACAATGCTTTAAAATGGCAAATTGCTGCAGATCATTGCGGCTTAGCCGAATGCAGCATTTTCAACCGCTTATTCACAGTATGCCATCGTCTGGTAACGCGACATCACCCAGGTTGCTGATCTTATTGGCTGTGGAATGAATGCACCTAACATCAGCAGGTAGGGTGGCAGCACCTTTCGGAGCAAATATCAACTACTCAGCGATCTTCGTTTCTGTTACCAGACGGTGTGCTTGCTGCCGGGTGCCTTCGAGATTGTGCCCAACCTGTCGGCATGCAATCTTAGAGGCAAATTTTTGGCAAAGCTCGAGTCATGGAGGAAGGAATAAACTTTCCTTCTTCCATGGCTCAAATCATCAAGTGCGCTCACAAGAGCACTGCAATCGCCAGCGTCTCAAGAGTTGAGGGGGCACAGCAGAGGTGAGAAGGAGGGTATAATTGTTCGTAGTGGCCTTGGTAAATGGCTTGTTGCTAAATTTGTTGTGTGGATGGTTTGATGGTGCTCTAGCATAAACGCTAAAAAAACTTAAAAAAAAAAACAGTTTTAAGATCCCTTAAATAGCTCCTTTTACAGAAATTCTTGCATCCGTGTCACTGGTTGTAGCGAAAAATCATCTTCTGCATGACCAAAAGATCGAGAAAAATGCAAATAAAAAATAAATGTTGAAAATTTCCAGGTTCGAGCACGGATCCAAACCAGGCCGTGTGCGTGGCAAGCAGGTGTTCCACCTCACAGCCATGCGTCTGCTTGTAAATATGATTAAAATAAGTTCCTGTGCTTCGAAATGCAGTGAAAATAACGTTCATATCTTAGAAACACATGCGTCCTGTATAGAGGCTTCAAAATACAACATGTTGCCATCGGGTATATTATAACGACTTCGTGGTTTAAAGTCGGCCACCTATTACAGAAAGCACATATGTTACACACATATTCCCTTAAGACCACCAGTGGGCACAGCAAGTTCGAAAAGATTTCACGCGCATAACTGTTCCAGATTGAAAGCATGCTACCCATTACACAGAATGCAGCCTTATGCGAAAGCTTCACTGACACAAGCCACTTTCAACATTACTGATTACATTGTAGTAATCCTTCTAGAATAACATCATACAATAAAAAGTATGCACTAAATGGTTAAAGTACGCTCTACAGACAGGATATCGCTATCGCGTTCAACTCTTAAAGTTATTTATTTATTTATTTTACATACCGTAGCCCTCTAAAAGGGCTATTGCAGGAGTGGGGTTATACAGTGCAAAAAAGAAAAAAAAATCGCAACAGAAAAGATACATGAGAAGTAACAACAGAATAACAATAAAACAAATATATAACAATAAAGGAATCAAGCTTCTGTTACATAATCATTTTCAACAAGAACAGTCACATAATCATTCAGGGGAAGTGATCAAATGTGACCAGGTAAGGATTTCCATATTTCTAGTGTTCAGGAGAAGAAAGTATACTTAAATGCATCTGTGCGTGCAAAAAAGATAGCAAGATTAAGCTTGTGGAAGTTGCGGATAGAGGAAGACTGGGCAAATGACAAAAAGGCTGCGTTTGAATTGCTATATGAAAGGTGGGTTATGTTGTGCAAGAATGATTCTACATTACAACGTGCCGAAAGAGGTTCTAGCTTTAGCTCATGTAATGCTAATGACAGCGAGAAGCAGCGGTCATACCTGCAAAAAAAGAAATGAGCAGCTTTCTTTTGAACTGCTTTTAGCCTGATTAAGTTGTACTGTCTGTAAGGTGACCACATCGTGGAGGCATAATCGATGATTGGAAAAACAAGAGATTTATGCATTAAATGTTTAGTATATTTTGGGGCATTCTGCATAGTTCAACAAAGATATACTACTTACTTTGAGGCTTTAGAACATGTTAAGGGGTAATGTGAGTAGATCATAAAAGATCATGAGTGAATGTGACGCTAAGATATTTGTACTGCATGATTTGGGTTAAAGAGAGACCATTGAAAGAGTATGTTGCAATAACCAGCATTACTTTTTTTGTAAATGAGAAAACAACAGTCGTTTTGAAATTAATGTTCATTTTCCATTTTTCGCACCCAGCACAAAACAAGGTAAAGGAATCATTCAAATGCTTTTTGTCACCTGCAGAAACGAACACGTCATATAAAGCACAGTCATTGCACAAAAACGAATGTTCAAGGATACATGATCTGAACCCTTGTGGGACCCCAGAGCCTACCTCTAGAACTGACAACCTTGTGGAATAGAAGTCGACATATTAAGAACTACTATGAAGAAAACTAGCACTGCAATCAACCAGACATGAATTTTTGAAGATGTGTAGTTTGTGCTGACGATGAGAATACATGATTTGATTTGTGGGGTTTAACGTCCCAAAACCACCATTTGATTATGAGAGACGCCGTAGTGGAGGGCTCCGAAAATTTTGACCACCTGGGGTTGTTTAACGTGCACCCAAATCTGAGTACACGGGCCTACAACATTTCCGCCTCCATCGGAAATGCAGCCACCACAAAGATGAGAATACAGTACCGTGTCAAAGGCTTTGGAGATGTCGATAAAAAGCACATCGATTTGATGGTTCTGGTCTAAACGATACGCAATGTCGTGAGTGAATTAATTTAGTTGGGTGACGGTGCTGAAACCGCCTCTGAAGCGATGCAGTGCATTATTTAAAATATGGTTTGACTCGAGAAAATCCATTATGTATTGGTAAATATATGCTCCAACATTTTGCATGAATACAGAGTAAAAAAAATTGGTCTATAAATAGTTATGTCAGCCTTGCTACCCTATTTATACAATTGTATTACTCTTCCAAGCTTCGAAGACAAAGGAACGGTACTAGTTTCTTAATATTTCCTAAATATAATAGCAGGGTTACGAGAGGTCCACCGAGACTAACGCAGGAAAACGAGTTAGGAACATCATCTGAGCCACTAGATTTCTTGGTATCTAGTTTTAAAATCAAATTAAGAAGTGTTAACACTAATGCAATGTCTGTAATCCAGTGATCAAAATATCAAAAACCGGATGATTGAAAATCAGATGGGTAGACAGAATGAAAGTATTAGTTAAATGTGTTAGACATGCGCATGGGATCATTTACATTTCAATAGTAAATGAAGATGCAGAATCAGTAATAGGCATGACAGGATGCCAAAATTTTGGTGGGTTATTTTTGAAGAGTGCCCATACTTCGACATTATAGAAGAAGTTCTTGGCAACCTTCGTATTCATTTAAAGTTCCTCCTTGGCAGATGTGAATCTGGCATTATAAATGGGGTCGTCGCTGCTTTTGAGCGTCTGAGGTGCCCAACACAGCGAGATAGCTGCAATATTTCTTTCTGTTCATTCAGGGAATGGTGTGATTTTGTTTTTTTTTGTTTTTAATGGCAACGAAACGATGACTGTATACATGTACAATGTTTTACAATGTAAATGCAACGCTTTAGGCCCCCTCCCCCAATTTCCTTTAGTGAACCAATGGCGAGTTGTGGAATTGTCCCAGTTTTTGTAGTGCCTAACCGTTTATGACGATATTTTTTGGGATGGATCAGCAACTATTTCCGAAGCAGCTTTGCCGGTAAAATGAAAAAGCGTGCATTTTTTTAAGGAAACAAATGGGATTGTATTGCAATGACTGCACAAGGCAACTTGAGTTTTTCCGAGGATTGCCCAAAGGTTTCAAGTGGTGGCAAGTGGTGAAGCGACTTTGAAGATATTCATGAAGAGAACGTAATCGTAGGTGCAAAATGAAGAAGGAACACGGACAAGCACTTGTTGCTTGTCGTGTCCCTTCTTTGCATTCGTTTTGTACCATTGATTACCGTTCAAGCTATGCATCAACTAATTTGTCAGCAGATGTTATGAAGACAAGGATTGAAGTACCATTTAGTGTAAAGGGGTCCCCGTCAGGGACAAGGGGGTAGGGCACAGGTTTATCTCAGCAGGTCCCCATTCCCCCACTTTCTTGTACACACGGGAGTGAAGAGAATAGGAGATATCCGTTAAGCAGTTTGTGCAAACTATGAGACGAGTCTCGTGGAATTTCTGGAGTAAATATTCTGAATTGCACGAGACAGAGCTAAGAGTTATGGGATATTTTTCTGCCTATGGTACAAGCAGCACAGTTTCTCCCAAGTTTTGTTTCATTAATTTTTTAGATTTTGCAAGAAAAAAAAAAAAGAATGGTCCAAGCTAGTTGCTATCTCTCAACATTTTTTTCATCGTAAAATTTAAGCCATGGAAGATCTCAAAAAGTCAGATCCTTCTGAAAACTAAATATGCTAGGCACAATGAAACCGCAAAAACGCAGCAGAAGCTTTCATATACAAACGACTGTGTTGTGGCCTGTACTCATGGTTTTTCAGGTGAGGTTGGTTTGTTGGCGCATGTTGGTTTGTTGGCACGTGTTGTTGGCGCATGCTTCAGAGGTCAAGTCCTGCTCCATGCTAGCTTCACCCTTTCAAAGTTTGTTTTCACATTTCCCATCTAGATTAAAACTGTGCACATTGTACTTTTTTTCCTTGGTTCAAGGGTTAGTGTAAAAATGTAAAAACTGTGCGTCCAACCAATTGGAATGAACAAATCTCTTTATATAGGCTGAAGTCAATGAGGAATGTACAGTGGGGCTCAATACGAGTTGCAACACTGTGGCCATGCTTGAAGGGGCTTCCAGCCTACACTGCAACATCGGCAAACGTAAGATGGGTTTTGCGAATACCAACAGTCGAAAGAGTGTTTCCATCACTTAATGTTTTCTACATCGATGCAGCCACACAGCATTGCCGCCACTTAGACCATGGGAAGTATGTTGCAACTCATATTGGGCGCGACAGTGCCTCGCAGGGTGGATCAAAATATTTTAAGGATTCAAGTATCAGCATAGTCACAACAGTGGAGACATGACCACAGTTCATAATAAGCTAAGAGTTAATTGAAACACATACTTGTAATACAATTCAGGGTTGCATCATAACAAATGCACAAAAATGATTTTAAACCATAACTTGACACCAATGGCCTTGGTGAAATATGAGCCACCCAAGTTTGTTACATTGATAAAATCACTAAAGTACTTCAAGGCATACGATTATACTTACTAATGATACTGTCAACTGAGTCAACCGGAAAACATTGTAAGGTTTATTTTATTTGTTGCCTATTTTATGAGCTGCAACTGAGTGATACTCAGTGATATTCAGCACAATGTTTATATTTATCACACAACGGGGTTTTATTTGAAGCAGCACATGCCTTCAAGTACAGTTGGCTGAACTTTGAAGGGGCAGAACATTAAATAAGTTCAGAAACAACATTCCAAAAGACAAGCTGACAAAAAAAAAAAAGAAGCAGTTTTTGTTAAGTTAGATTGTGTTCACACACACAGCTAAGTGGGCTAGCTGTCATCAGGCTCCAGGTTGATGCTGTTTCCAAACTTGTTATACAGCTGAGACTTCAGTTCAGCCATGATGCCCTTAATATTGCGAGCCTCCTCTTCAAGAACTTTGGTCCGTGCTTTGTTTTCCTCCCTAATTCGTTCAATCCTTTGTTGGGCTTCCTCAGGGTCCATGCTGACAAATATGTCTCCCAGCTTATACGTGAATCTTGCTAAGGAACTTAGTGTGGAGAAGTCGCACATTTGCAAACCCTTTCCTTATGCCTTTTTTTCTTCATTTCAGAACTATCAAAATTGATCATTATAAGCAATGCTACACACATTCACCAGTTATCAATACTGCAGAAACAGTACTGCACAGATGCATGCACATAGCTCACAACTGTTGCTCTGTGAAGCAATTAGACACAAACTGTTGCCAGGAATAAACCATACAGACAGGCCTCGAAACATACACAGCGTAAATGCTGTAGGTGCCGGAAAAGCCCGTGTACAGCCCGGGTTTTTCTCTGGATTCTAGGGTACGAAATTTTGGCCCTATACTATATGCGGGTCCGAAGAATTTTCGGCCGAAATTCAGTTTTGGTTCAGATGCTAGGTAGTGTTAGCGGCGGTAGCAGGCGTTTGTCTTACAGACCCACGCCTGCAACAGTGGTCAGTGGCTTTTGCTTCAACTTGGCGCCTATAAAGAAGGTCATTTTGGTCCAGTGATTTTACATCATGTCAGCACTACACAGGCAGTACTCGGTTACTTTTAAAAGAAAAGTTATCGCTGCTGCCGAAACCATAGGCAGCTCTGCCACGGAGCGGCAGTTTGGAGTCAATGAGCGGAGTATTCGCGGTTGGCGGAAGCAGAAGGATGTCCTCTTTGCTTGCAGCTGCAAGCGAAAAAGTTTCTGCGGACCAAAAATGGAGCATTTCGTGATGTGGAACGAGAACTCGCAGACTTTGTGTGGGAGCAGCAAGCTGCATATCTCGCTGTTAACATAGAGCTGCTACAAGCGAAGGCAAGGGAGATAGCCAGTGACAAAGGCATTCAGCCGGAGGATTTAAAAGCGAGCAAGCACCGGGTGTCTCTCTTGATGTGCCGTGCTGTGTTTTCCCTACATCGCATATTTCGATCTCGCAGAAGCTACCAAAGAGCTATGAAGAGGACCTTGTGGAGTTTCAAAAGTAACTGCGTTGCGAAGACTGTCCCCTTTCAGCTGGGCCAGATCGGCAACGTGGATCAAACACAGGTCCACCTAGATATGCCCACGGTGCTGACGGTGCATCAGAAAGGCTCCAGGCAAGTTATTGTGCAATCGATTGGGAAAGAAAAAACGCGGGTGACTGTAATGTTGTCCGGCATTGCAGACAGTCGCAAGCTACCACCTTACTTGAGATGTTCAACGAAAGACGCTGCCGAAGGAAGAGAAGTTCTCAAAAAATGTTTTCATCCACTGCCAGGAGAAAAGGTGGATGTATGAATTGCTAGTGCTTGACTGTATAAAGTCCATGTGGTGTCAATGCCCCGGAGCTCTGTTGGGGCTTCCTTCTATGCTTCTGCTCGACGGGTTTCAGTGTCACTGACCGACTCTTTAAAGCGACTGCTGCGTGACTCCCACACCGAGCTCGTCGTCATCCCGGGAGGGATTACATCACAGCTGCAGCAGCTTGATGTGTGCCTTAATAAGCCATTCAAGGACCACGTCAAGTGCCTGTATGCGAAGTGGATGAGGTCCGGAGAACCAGAAGTGACCTCTGCCGGACAGCTAAAATGGGCCTCGCCAGCAATGCTGTGCTCGTGGATAGTCGAGGCATAGGCCTGCATTCCCGAGGCGCTCGCTTACCATGCGTTCAAAAAGTGCTCCAGCTCGAACGTGCTTGATGGCACTGAGGATGATGTGCAGTGGGAGAACGTTTCCGACAAGAAAGCTTCAAAAGGGTGCGTTCGACGACGACGATGAATGAAGTGTGTCAAATGCATTTTTCCGTATTACTCGGGCTATATACAGGTGAAAACTTTTTCTTGCATTTGCTATTACGGTACGTTGGCCTAAATGAGACACTGTAATCGTTCTAGGAAAATCTCAACTGGCAGCAAGTGCTAGGCTAAAGCTTTCCCTTGAAAGCTTGTTGATCAGACCATACATTACAACAAATGTGCTTTGTGTTTTCCAACCTCACATTCAGTGCTTTGGAAGCCTACAAATCTAGAAAACAAAAAACAGCTAGGTGCCCTATAATGAGATTATAAAGAGGCTGGGCATTTTCTGCACAAAAAAATGTTGCATACACAAGTATCAGCAAAAATTTGGCTGCACTCTCAGCCTCTTAGATATACAGCTCAACAGTTCTTCTGGTCGACACTTTCCATACAAGGTTTTCTTTGCACTATTGTGCAAGTTTTTCTTCGATTAACAGGTTCAACTGTTTTGAGATATGAAGGCTGCCCAATTTGTCTACGAAAAAAACAACAACATGGTGATTCACTTTTTGTGGTTTTAACCTTTTAAGTCCTGAATCTACATATACGTCATTGCCTGTATGTTTAAAATGCGCACCTTTTTCAGTCACTACTCTTGTTTCGCATGTGCTGCCACACTGGGAATACGTGGAACTCTTTTATAGTGCGGATGTATCTGTTTTTTAAATTCTTTTTATGCATTACTACAGCAGCCCATCAGCTAGTTTTGGTTTTGTCTTGGGGCTGGTTCCCGCTCATTGCAGCCGCAAACTGATGTCTCTTTAATTTATAATCTTTCGAAAAGTGGCCAATTTGTTACTCTCTTGTTTATTGCTCCCCAGTACACGATTACGCCTATTTCCGTGCATTGGCTGACTGACACAAATGAGTCCACTATGTAGCTGCGTTTCTTGTTTTGGGGGCTTGCAAAAACTGCTTCAGTCTCATTTGCGATAAGATGAATTATTATTACAGGTTTCGAACTTGTTATGCTTTATGTAAAAATGTTGTTCTCTGTTGTTTTTCACTTCAATCAATGTATAAGACTTTGTCACATAACACTGTGCGGAAGTGTGATAACTGTATTTCTCTTATGCTGTTGTGAAATTAACCTACGTATTCATTGTTCACTCCTTTATCGGCCTGTTTAGGCTCACAGTATTCAATAAATAAACAAATAAATAATTTTCTTCAGTGTGCTCACCCACACAGTTTACTTGCTCTATGAAAGTGCGCACCGGTTTCTGTGCCACAAGTGAATTGCTGCTCGACTACGGACTCAATATCTGATCCAGTAAATCTCAACCTATCATACAAGGAGTTACGAGTTAAGACTCAAATTTTGATGAGCAAGCAACATTCTCAAAAGTGTGCGCAGCAACACTATGCTTACTAAATTAAAAGTCGCTTTTCTCCTTCTGTGTTTCCACTTCTTGACGCGACTTATGTATGTCTGTGAACTGCAGAGGTGTTTACTGAAATATATAATTTTTAAGTCGCATTTTCTTGTAAGAATTTGTCACGCAGTTTCTCACAAAAAAATCGTGTATATGCAACAGTACAAACTATTTGTCAGTTTATGGTCATCAAAAAAATAACTTTTTTTAAAAATAGTTTCACCTGCTCGGATTTGGGTGCACTTTAAAGAACCCCAGGTGGTCGAAATTTCTGGAGCCCTCCACTAGGCTCTCATAATCATATGGTCGTTTTGGGATATTAAAACTCGCATCCGAATCAAAGACATACCTGCCAAGTTCAAAAATTCTGAATACGGAAGATTTCCACAACAAAGGGGGGGGGGGGGGGTGCATTGAATTATTTGTCCTTTTTTAGCACCGAATGAAGACAAACAAAAAAAACATCTTGAAAAACAAGAGAGGGGAGGTCCTAATCGCAAATGCAAAAATTGGCGTTGCGGTCTTGTAATGGCTTGGCCTGGACGAACACACGAGGGTAGGGTTTCTCTCCAAGGTGAGAGTCTCAAAAGGGGAGTGCAAATACTTCCGAAATTTCGAGTCATGAAAACAACTAGCAAAATACATTTCTATCAAAACAACTCGCATACGTCTTCCTGGGACACACATGAACAGATGGTACGGCGCAGCTGGCTGTCGCGAAAGGGCAGATCAAAGCTTTGGTCACTACTAGATTCATTGGACAGGAACGCCACATTGCGTCTAACCTTTTTTACACCTTTGCTGCCTTTAATCTACCGCTGCGTTAACCGTGTACCCTCAGAGATCGAAGATCGCTATCACGTCGCCACGACCGCGGTCTTGTGAGGGGCGGTTGCGGCGAATGGTAGTTTCGTTTTCTATCCTTGTGGGCTGGCTTCGCACGTGTCTTCACAACTAATTCATTTTATGTTATCTATGATAGGATCTGACGCGGTTTTGTCCGCAGAGTTTCAGAATCAAATCAACGTAGCTTTGATTTGATCTGACTGGTTGAGCGTTGGACGCGCACACATTTTCGGAGTTTTGCACATTTTCAGAGTCGAGCATGACCATGTCAAGAATGATCGCAGTTTCGTCCACAGCGGTTGTGGCGACAACCAGAAGGACTGTAGAAGACAGTGCGTGCACTGGTTGTACCTGTACTTCCGAATATTCGAGCAGGCTGCTCTCAGTCTTAGTTCAACGGTTTCGGTACTAAAGTTTACATCACCCACTGCGATTAAGGAAAGTGTTCGTAACATTCGAATTTCGGCCCAGTGGACACAGTGTGATATGGCTGGGGAATTTCACGAATTCGTATCTGTCACGGTATTGCATCACTGAGATTCTACTGTACAATTGGATGAACGCCTCCTAAATTCATTTATAATAAAATGTGATAGGTTCGCAGAAAGCCTGGAGTGGATCGACCTGCATTTTCGTCCATGCGGTCAGATTACGTACAGAAATTTTGAGTTCCAGGGGATTTTCATGACAGCAGTACAAACGGAAGAAACGGTCGAAATCCGAGAATCTCCCAGGTTTTCCGGCAGACTTGGCAGGTATGCAAACAGATTCACCAGAAGAATTTAAATCGGCAATTTAAAAGAAATCAACACTGCCAGGTCACATCTGGCAAAAAAAAAAATTTACCCTCTAAGGGTTAAAGCATGCTTGGTGCTATAGCAACTGAGAACGAAATTGAAGAACAAATCGAATGAAGAAAAGTCTGATGCGCATTTCCTCCACGTTTGATTCTGGCTTGGTGGAAATCCACAAAGATAATTAGTGAAAAAGTTTTGGATAAAACAGTGAAAAAGCTGTGTGCTTGAATACGGAAGCTTTCATTATCACCATCAAACAAGGGGCACATAAACATGAACTGCACAACACGACCTGCAACGATTCCTCACAAGAAACAATGTTTTAGGCACCATACTTCTTTTCCAGCTACAGGAAGAGAATCCCCCCCCCCCTTTTTTTTGGTATGACAAGATAGGCAGCTACTTTTCTCACTCAGCAATGAATAACAAAACATACACACCACACAATTAGTTATTTTTTTTTAATGGAAAGCATTTCTTTGCGTACTGCAGACACTTTGAGCATTCGTTTCTTCCTTTATTTCTATCTGTGTCTATCTGTCTATACTCAGCGACAACTTATCTCGACATTGGAGCAAAGGCTATAGAGGTGGGGCTTCCGCAGATTCATGTTGCTCCACTAGTAGTACACCAGCTTGTGGTTGATTTCGGTTTTGCTCGCTCGCGTTCTTATTGCATTTGGAATATTATATACACAAGTAATGAAAACGGAACAAAGATTTCGATGGTTCAGAGTACATTTTTGAGCCATATTACAAGCACAATTTTCTTGGAGAACTGAATGGGGCATTTGCGACCGCACACAGATCTACTAGTTCAAGAAAACCTTGTTTACTATGAAAGACGGTTGTGCGGAAAATAGTGGTACTAAGAAACCGAAAGAAAAGGAAGGCACTCTTACTGAGAGAATAATAACTATATTTTATACAGATTCCTGCTTATGTTTGAGTCTCATAAAAAAAAGCAGCATCAATTTTAGCATGGCAAAATGAGAAAATTATCGGTAAAGCTAATTACGATAACTTGGCACGCTAGCAGGCATGCACGTTGGTTCTGTAGCTTCCACAGTGCTGTCAAGAAAAGTTGTCACCGAGTATAGCTGCCTACGTCTGGATGCTCTCGTGATGACCTCCTTAATTTTTGGGACAGACCAGAATTAGTATGCGAGGGTAAGAGGGTTTGGTGATTATGACTATCTGGCCACGACATGAATAATGTGAGAATCCCATCGCATACGATGCCAAAGCTATTCCTCCAGCCACGTGTGGCGCATACCCGTATGCCACGGCCTGCACTACATAGGTATGCGCCACAGGTGTTTGACTGTTAGCTTCTACTGAGGAACGGCGAGTACAGACATTGGTAATTTAAGTGGGAGGGCATTACGAAAAACTGACATTGGCGGCATTGACTGATTGAATGCAAAGAATATATGCTATGGTCCCAGCAGGAATTGAACACAAGCATTCTGGGTGGCAATCCAGTATTCTACCACAAAGCCAAGCCAGCTCTTTACTCCTTTGGAAAAAGACCCTATGAAAGCACAATGTTGTTGCAAGCACAACAGCAATTGTGGTTGCAGTGCTGCCCATCTAATTTTATAAAGATTACATAAGCATTCTAATGATGGAGGCATCATGTCTGATTAGCATTAACTGTAGTTAAGCACCACCCACTGAGATTTGTCTATGTAGCACTGTAAAGGGCTACCATCCTCACAAGCGCTTGATTTCAGCTTACTGCTTCTAATGTTGGTAATACTCATGTTGCTGTTGGCACCATTAAGCAACTGTTTTGATATGATTGATATGTGGGGTTCAACGTTCTAAAACCACCATATGATTATGAGAGACACAATAGTGGAGGGCTCCGGAAATTTCGAACACTTGGGGTTATTTAACGTGCACCCAAGTCTGAGCACACAGACCTACAGCATTTCCACTTCCACCGAAAATGCATCCGCTGCAGCTGGGATTCGATCCCGTGACCTGGGGGTCAGCAGCTAAGTAACTTAGCCACTAGACCACCGAGGCGGGGCCCATTAAACAACTGTAACAACTGTAAACAACTGGTTATATAAAACAGATGCGACTGTTCAACATACATGTCTGAACGTATAACATCTGTACATATGTTTAGTGTTATTACGTTATGTTTCGCTCAACAAAAAATTGCAACACAGTCACCTTCCCTCTCTATGCTTCACATGACATTGATTCCGATTGTACGTGGAATCTGCCATACTTTTAAAATTGAAGTTTGCTTGGCACTCTGTTCACAAATGAAGGGCTGATTTAAAAACTAGTCATTGAATTATTCTTTTTATTGTTATTCTTATCATCACCAGTATCATCTTTTTTTCTTTAATTGAAGCACAAATTCTTATTTAACTTCATCATCACTCTTTACACTTCCACAGGGCAACCAACTGTGCTGCCACAAAGAGGTGTCAACATGACTATTACTACCAGCAAGAACTATCGTAAAATTTACGTTTTGTATACTACTACAAATTTTAGAAAGCTTAAACACAAATAAACAAATATTACATTCGTTTATACTATTCCAGTGTTCCTTGGAAACCGTTCAAACAACTGTTAAAAAGAATTTTCAACTAAATTCCACTGCTTGCATTCAAAGAGGAAACAGTTCAGTTATTTCTTGACATCATCTGTGAAAACAAGCATATTTTTGGGAGCAAGAAAACCAAAAATGCTCATGCAATAAGCACCAGAAGAATTAATGTATTTAAGGATATGGTATTTGGATGTCATCTTCAGCCACCAGAAGAATTTCACCTGCAGCATCTTCTAAGTTGCGCATCTCCTTCTGCATGAATGAAAAAAGACAAGTAGTATATATACAAGGGGCATTCATAAAGTTCGTATTATCAATGTGATAGATATAAAAAAGGTGTACACGATAGGCATCACAATAAGTTTGCATCTGTCTAGTCTTAGAGTAATGCAAAACTACTATGGCACCAAAATAAAACAGCAGCACTGATTGGGAAAGTCTTCCTCGCTCAGAACAGCTGACAGTGACGCATGCTGCCTTCTTATAGAGGGTATCCACTTGACGTCATCTATGAGGATTGCTAGCGTCGGGGTCACCGGCGGTTCGCATGCTCGCCGCATGCCCAAAAATCTCTCTGCACACGCTGTGTCCGAGATCCGTATGGCAACTTGTATGTTTATAGACCTCCGGAACACTTCCTGCACGTTGAAGCACAGACAGCAGGAAGGCGTGTACGAAAGGACCATCAAAATGGCATATGATGGTATTGCCCCTTTGCGGATAAAGGCTCAGTGCATACCCCTTTTAGGCTACAAAATTTTGTCTCACCTGCCATACTCTCATCACCTCAGACTAAGTGACATCTTCCTCTTCCTTTGCAGGAACATTTTAGGAGCAAACGAAGAAATAACTGCTCGAATCAACCTCTTTCTTTCGAAGAATCGAATATGCAGAGTTCTACTTCAATGTGCTGCACCTGCCTATGAATCATAGAAAGGAGCGCATAATTCTTGGAGAAAAGTATATATAAAAACAACAAATTTTCAGCAAAATTTAGCTTGTTTGTCTCTCTTTCTTCATGCTAAAAATACAAGCTTTATGAATGCCCCTCACACACATGTGAGATGGGCTAAAGGACATTAAATAATGCTAATAAAGCTTACAGTTTGGTTGGATAAGGATTACGGCTTTCCAAAGTGCTAATTTCAATGAGTACACATGCAATATGAGCCAAGCAGTAGAGTAAATGTGACACCATGCAGCTGGCACACAATAATATGATGAATGTACTGACCCCTATTCATGCTGCATTCCAACCTTTGATAGGTCAACTTTAGTGAAAAACTCTCCAGGCAAGCAAGGCAACAAACTAGGCTAATATCTCCTGAATTATCAATAAAAAATTCTGCCTTGTATATCACTGGCACTACCAATTCACCACACTGTCATGGGCAGCTGAAGTGCAGACTACTAAACTTAAGATTGCCAGTGCAGCTACACAGCAATGCTTCAAGCAAATCCAAATATGGAAAATTTGTGCTGTATCTGCTGCCACTCCTTTCTCTTAAACCTGACATAAAACAAGTGGCAGAGGGTTTATATACATCCAGTTCGGTAAATATATGTGTCCCAATAAGTTACACTGCACTGTGTACATTTACTAAATGAGGAATCCTGAATCCAAAGCAAGTGTTCTGCAATTTTCTTCTAAAAAAGATTAAAGCTAGTTGCATTAATAAACATTCTGCATAAAATGCATATGTGATATGCAGCAATTGTGCTATCAGTTATGGTACAGGTTAAAAAGTGTTCATGCCAACTGCGTGGCATCTACTATCATGCTCAATATGAGCTACACTAGACGAGCGTGTGCCCAAAAGCACTGCACTGTTGTACAGTCGTGCTGATCACGACATTTTTTTTTTTTTTCGGGTTATCAGGAGAGCCAGTGGCTTTTGCTGCAAGCACGCACCACTCTCACTTGCTTACACCTTTGACATCATTATTTGCAGGGCAAAATGAGTATGAGAGTAAAAGCAAGCCAAGGTAATGCGCACTTGCCAAAATCACTTGATAACTCAAAAACCACGTCACAATTGGCGCCACTGTAAAATCACGATAAGACAAACCTTACGATGCGCTTGTCCACACGGTCCCGTGGTGTAGCTTATACTCAGAGCGATATTATAGTCATTAACAAATGCAACAAGAACATGAAACTTGAATTTAAAATAGGTTGTGCAAGCATTTGCATGAGATCACCATCTGAGGCCACTAATTAAGCATGCAAGCTGAAATTATGCTGATATTAAGCATACTAGTGAAAATAACGAAAGAATGCATTTCAATTTAGGCTAACTTGTTAATGTTTCAATTGTCTATCACTGTACAAATTTTTAGATCATCTGTGCAGGTATATCGCATAAACTTAAACAAGTACAATCAATGGCACAAGAATCATGAAAATGTAACAATGCAACTTTTTTAGAAGTTTTCTGGTGACCAATACCACTGCCAGTGGCCTAGAGCAAGGTAAGCAAAGACCTTGGATATTCTTATAGTGGTTGGGGTGTATCATGAATGGGCAATATGGAAGGAATGAGCCATAGAGACAGTTTAGAAATACTGCTTAGTCTGTTCAATTCATCTTGCAATTTATATGATCATAATGTTATGTGATGAGGGCACACTTAACGGTACACAAGTGAGCTCATAACTGTGCGTACCCCAAGGCCAGTTTGAAATCGTTTGCATAACATGAAGCTTGGACTCTCACATTCACCATAGATTTCAGCATGACTTGGAAGTGTGCACTCACCCCACATTGAGTGCCACTTTGAAATAAAGAGCTACAAAAGCCCGTGCTTTAAACTTCATTCTTTGACGGTATTGCCTGTTATTTGAGACTACATACACACAAGCACAAAAGACCACACACATCATCTGAAAGACGTGCAGAGCTTAAACTACTTTCAGGTCTGCATGAAGAAGAATAAGCTCAGTTCATTCAGTGTTGAAGATGTTGCATGTTGACATGTTGATAATGCAAGTACGACTGACAATTGTGCGAGGAGCTATAGATGCGTAGTAATGAAAAATACACCTCATACTTGAACCACATGAACCACAAGCACCACGCTTCTGTTTTAGTGATCAAAGTCTTGTCATCTTGTTGTGTCACACATTTCTTAATGGTGATAATGCAACAGCAATGATTCAGCCGTACCTCTAGCTCTTTTATGTCTTCTGTTGCGTCTTCAAGCCTGGCATTTTGCCTAGCAAAATCGTTGATCATCTCCTGGTCTTCTTTCGTGACTTTTACATCGCCCTCCTGAAAATGAAGAAGCTCCTCAGTCTGCATATCGTGCAAGCTAACATTTTAAAATGTGGGACCCACAATTTGCTCGGCACAGTCACGGCTGTCAGATCCGCCACACCGATTTAGAACGAAAATTCGGCCAGTAGGTTCAGTGCACGATTATCGATTGGTTAATTTCACTAAAGATGCCCCGAATATATCAGTTCGGTCCATAATTTTGACTGAACCTAGCGGCCTTTAAGTATTTGCTCGATTCGTTTCTTTCTTCTCTTTAAATCATTTTTTTCTTCCGAAATGGCTGCTTTTGGAGAGAGTGGGCGGGTGCAACACATGTGCCGGTAGTCCGCTCTAGTAAATGAAGATGTTAGTAGTTTTAACTTTTATGACGTGGGACGGCGCACGAGACATAATAAAGGAGTGATGGGTCATTTATCGAACGAGGTTACACACACACACACGTTGGAAAACCGCCAGAACCGAATGATTTTGCAGTCACACGAGGCAACAGTACTGCACCAAGGTGAGCTACAGGCAGCGTGACAAGCGAAACAAGAAGGCAAGATTGTAGGTTTTAACGCATGAAGATGTTCAGTGAATGCAGTTAGGAAATTAGACAGTGATGTGTTCGCTAGCTTTGGCTTTCACGCTGCTAGTTAGCAAAAGCGAACAAATGCGAGAGGAGTTGGAGCACGCGGCTCAGTTCTTGCTCGACGTTTATGAACAACACACAAACACAACAAGAACGGTTAATTACGGACACGCGAGCATTTTCCCGCAGTGACTGACGCTTGGGCTTCAAAATAACGGTACTAATTGCAAATTTGCTATTCTTTTGAACTTACACCCTGCTTCCTGAACGCTGCGGCCATCTTGAAACACGTTTTTGTGAACGCGGCTTGGTAGGTGTTGTGTGGCGCGGCCAAATTAAATTAATTTTAGAAAATGAACAATCGTTTGTAATTGGGTGGTAACGTAAAAAGTGATAACTAAGACAATAGTTTTTGCTAGAAACATTAACTATATTATTAACAATTTTTTGAAGAATTTGACAGATGACACTAGCTCCTCGCGTGTTTTGTGCGTGTTTATGGAAGTAAAAAAAAAACGTTTCTAATTTTTGAAGGCCACATTTCTTAGGGCAAAGTTATTAGTAGAAAAGAAAGACTATTTAAAACTACACACTATTATGGTTGTGTTTGTTTTCAATCAGTGTTAAACTAACGTAGCCGAACGATGGCATGGACGAACGTTTTATTTTTTTTTTGTTACTTTCTTTTTAACCAACGCCTCCTAGATTTCTTGTGCCTGCCGGATTATCGATGGTCACTTGGGATGCGGCGGTCGTCGAAACTACGATGATGGCGCCACTCAAGTAGGGGTGTTTTCAAATAGGTGTTTATGTTTTTGAAGTTTATACGCAACAAAAATAACATTAAAAAGTTTTTAAAAAAGCGTAAACGCAATTATTTTTAACCCTACGTAAGTGACGCCATCAATCAGCAAGTAAGTTTTTTAATACAAGGCATCCTCTGAAACCAGTAGCAAACGCCAAAATTGCCAATCTCAAAGGCCGAGTACAAAACCCTCATCTCTATGTAGGCAGCGCCGTCATAGATGACCGGCGTTTCGCGCTCATCCGGCAGGCACAGAAAATCTAGGAAGCGTTGGTTTAACGCGTACCCTCTCTCCTTCTATGGCCGCGGATGGACACAAATTTTAATAAATTTCTCAATAGCAATTTTAGCAAATAAGTTCTTGTCTTTGTTTGCTGATACTTACGGCAAAATATTGTATGGCTGCATCTTACGTTTGAATTGTTTGAAAAAGAAACACAACGACGATACATTGTGGATTATTTTTCAGCTCGTATGAAACGCGCGCTCAAAGCAAAGCTTTCGCTGTGACGTCACACCCGGCGGTGTTCCGCTGGTTGCGCTCGTGTGCGTCCGACTGAGTGAGGCGCTGCGAAGAAGAATGGTGAAAGTTAGTGTCCTGCGTTTTGGCAGGTGTGCATGTGGAAACATGTAAACTTACTGTGCTCCGTTTTGTTTATAGAAACCGTGCGGCGGCGGTAACCATTAGGATCAGCAACTTTCCTTTTTTTTTTTCGTTTCGTGGTGGACGAGTGAAGTGGCCAACAGACAAGCGAGGCAACAATGTACGACGACGAGCTGGCGAGCGACGCGACTCGGATATTGCAAGATCTGAGTCTCTTCGAAGTGCCCTCCAGGGATCATTTGACGGCAGCGACGCCGAAGCGTACGGACACTTCGGCTGGCGAAGATTTCGAGAAAAAGCGAGAAATATACGCTAATATGAACAGTAAGTCTTACCCGGACTTCGCGCTGGCGGCCGATCACGACTATGGACGCATTCTCTCTCGGGCGGCTACCTCAGCGGGCAGCTACGCTTCGGCGGACGTGCTCGGTAGCCCCCGACGGTATCTTCCATCCAGCAGGCGTGCTTTGGGTGCAATCGAGAGCCTAGCCGACGGCAAAGACCTGCAGGTGTACGCCAGAATTGACCGTGCTAGCGTAATTACCGCCTCTAAGTTCGCGACGCCCAAAGCACCCTGCTCCGAAGCAGTGAGTGGAGTGCCTCCGCCCGACTATGCACGGTGGGCCGCTTGCAAAACACGACTGCCTGATAGCGCTCATTCCAGTCCGCGTAGCAGCGTCAGTTCGTCGAGTCGCGACTCTCAGCACTCGAACAGTTCGGCGGGCGCTGCGCCCATCTACGAGAACGTGGCGGCCCTGCAGAGCCCGCGGTCGTCGCTTAGTTCTCAGGATTCGAAGCCGCCGAGCCCGCGGGCCAGCCACTGCGAACCGCCGCCGTATCCGCACGCGAAACCACCTCCCGAATACCCCATCTACGCCAACCTGGAAGGTCCATCGCTGCAGCGCAACGGACTGGTCAGGCCGTGTGCTCAGAAGCCGTCATCGTACGCCTCCAGCGTGCGATATTCGACGACCGGCAGCGGCAACAGCCTGTCTTGCTCGTACCCGATCGGCAGGCAGCAGCAGGTTCTTCGCAGCCAGACTTGCGATGCGGGGGGATTGGCAGCGCGAAGCCCCCAGTCGGCCTGTCCGCAAGTGCCGCCGCAGGCGCTCCCGCCGCCGCCCCCTTACCCGGGCTACAAGCCCAACACGCTTAACACCAAGACGCTGCTGCCGTACAACGTGACCCCTCCGCGGCCCAAGGGTCCCACGGAGGCCGAGAAGAAGATCGAGGCGCTTATGCGCCAGATCGAAGACGAACTCGAGCAAAACCCGCCGGAGGGAGAGTTCTTCGGTGAGTGGTCATTTCATTTCACGGCATGGACGGCGCGTGCTCACTGACTTCAGGACCTCGGTTGTCAATGGGCACTCGGTGCAGCAGACAATCTGCTTGTTTACGAGCACGTTGTCTTCTGTATTTTGGGCTGTTCACTTGTAAGCGTAATTGGGGATTCATGTCACACAACAGCGATATAATTAAAGGGACGCCCAGTGTCCGCAAATTTTGGCCGTCTGTTGATTGACGGGTACCTAAACTGTGTTCACGGACCTCTAGCATTCTCGCTTCTATTGACAATGCGGTTCCCGCGACCTTCGGTCTCCAGTCAAGCACCATAACCCCTACTAGCCCGGCTTGGTGGGTCACATGAAAACCTACTGCTCTCATCACGTACTCACATTTATCGCTGATCAAAACAAAGGAGAAAATAAAGCAAAAAAACTAAATATATTTTCTTTTGCTTGCTATGTTTAGAAAGACATTTACCTCCCTCAGCATACATGTGAGAAGGCTATATCACATAATTCCTGTCCAAATCAGTTGACATTACATATTTGTAGTTAATGCTGAGCTATACTTTCACTTTTATGCTTTTTAGTATTCTAGCACATGGAACACTATTTGAAAGTCCTGTCATGCTCTCACACTGCACTTGCTGCAGGTAGGCACTTTGCAGGAATGTACTGGGACAGCTGTTGTGGTCTGGCTTTGTATTATCTTCACATTACTGACTATTCTAAGTGGATGCTTTGAAAGAACAAAATTATGAGAGATCTGCACTACTTACTAGCACTAGTCATGCTCAAGCTTTCCCATTTTTTCATCATTCATGAGCATACTACACCTCATGAAAATTTTATAATTCACTGTCCATTTCTCCTTACAGAATTGCCGATGTTTTGCCACTGTAAATTGCAGTTGTGGCAAAATTTTGTCATTGAACAGTTTCCCATTGCAGACTTTTTGTTCTCTTTTGGAGGAACATTCAATCCACAAAACAACACTAACCCGTTTTTCTAAACAAAATAATCAGCATTGTGATGTGTTCAAAGCCACTACTAAGAATTTGTTTTGGGTCTGAGATACATAAAACTCGTAGTGGGTTCAAAGCAGTACCTCGGACGTAAAGCACACTCTATTGGCAGGCCTGTGTAAAAGTTTAAACTTGGTGCACTTGCTTATGTGAACTGCAAGATGTAGAAGAATTGAAGGTTGGGCCAATTGGTGACAGTACTTCAACATATTCAAGGCACAGCACAGCAATAATGCAGATGAAGAAAAAACAGGGGGGGGGGGGACCACAACCCCCATTTTCTGTTTATCTGCGTTGCTATTGCACAGTGCAATAGCGACGCGGATCTTGCAATATGTACAAGATCCAATAAATGGGTAGAGGCGAGTGCTTTTCTATGATGAAATCGGCCATCTTCACAACTGTGCTCCAGTTCATATTTGCACTGTTCATAAACTGTCACTCTGCACAGCGGATAGAGAGACACACCTCGAGGAGGAACAACAAACGACGCAGTGCTTTCACGAGGCTAGTGCGGGCCCTGCCATCATCTAGCATGCAGGCTGATTGCTTCTGTTAGCCTTTTCCACTATCGGGTGGCAATAACCAACATACAGGTGTCATGGCACGGTGCACGAACCAGGTTCACGGCAAAATATTGTCACCTTCTTACTAGTGAAATATGTCACGGTAAAATACATCGTAATCGGACATGTGTAGGCAAGTCTGCACTGCTTCAATATGGTTGACTGTGTTCAATGGCAAGAAATAGAGGATGGAGAACAAGAATGCACGAACTGGACTCGTGCAAATAGAAAACTCACACACGCTCTACGTTTAAACGTATTACTGCAATTTTTTCTGTTCTGAGCACCGTTCAGCACTGAGTTCTACGATGTTATGAAGTCGTCTTGGTCAAATTTTATGTGTTGTAGTATTATTGTTAAGATAAGCTTACATATCCTAATATCTCTTGAGCGCTTAATTCCTGTTTTCAGGCACCCGCCTCGCACTTCAGCCAATAAACATGTATCTTTTCAAACAAGAATGCAAAAGCTTCCTTACAAAACTGCCAACACCACTGAATGATTTCTTTAACATGCTTAATGCTCATTATAAATCAAATGATCTTACCATTGTATTCACTTGGTTAAAATAATTCAAGTTTACAAACTCCTGCAGAGAGATACCAGAATTCCTTGACCACATTACAGCTTGAAGCGATTTGTTTTTGCGAGTGACAAACCATCACGTATAGCATAGATGGCGCGCTTCTACCCACTTCCTCTTCATAAACTGCCCATGATGCCTTTCAAGACATCAAGTGCGCGAGCTGGGTCGCATTAGGTGAAATAACGCAGCCGCTGTTTAATTTGCAAAGGGGCATGGTAGCCGCAGATCGTGTTTATTATAATATTTATTAATGAGAAACCAGCGCGACATGTACGGACAAAGGCTGGTTAGTGCACTCGAATCAATGCTCGCACATTGCGCTGAGTCCGCTTTCGTCTAGCGAAATTCGTTCGCTAGACGAACAAGCGAACGAATTTCGCTTGTTCGTCTTTGCCATCATATGGAAGATTGTTTTAGAAATTTATGCTCATTTCCTGTGGATATTGCACGCAATCGTATTCTATTTCAATGTGCAATGCGATGCCGACAAATGCAGAGTGTATACCAACCTGGAAAAATGTTGGGGAATTCGTACCCTTCTGGAAAAGTTGGGGATTTTCTGAAAATCTGGCCTAGTCATCGAAACTAAGGGCTGAGTGTGCGGTCGTCACAAAAATAGACATTACCATTCATTAAAGCTTGAGAAGCCACTCTTTCAGCTGCAACTACAGCAAACAGCAAGAATATGCATGAAAAAAGCAGTGCGTAACTGTTGCTTCTTCGTGTGGACACGAAAGGATGCACTTACCTAAGGAATACAAAGTTTACTGATGTTTCGGCACCTGCCACGAAAGACTTGTTCGCAGTAATAGTTATAATAAAGATACAGAGTATTAGGAACGCCTAAGTACGTGGCATAAGTACTGGGACTATATTGTTGGAAGCGTCCCATCACTTTTGTTCAGTGTACGTGCAGTTGTCTGTATGTATTGGTATTCCAGGTGCAGGCAGATCCAAGCTTTTTTTTGATCAGAACATGCGTGCTTCGCCAGTCAGTTTGATAGCCTGTAGATTCCACGTGTTTAGCGAGGGTATATGAGGTCACGCGCTGTCTCCTGACGTCATATTTATGTTGTTTAAATTTTCTTGAAATCAGTGGTCTCACTGATGTACTGGTTGTCACCATCGTGGCAGCCTAAAGTGTAAAAACGACCGTAGGAATTTTCACTTGGACACTTGTCCTTTATGTTGTCTAGAGCATTCCTTAGCTTCCATGTTGGCACATTCACTATTTTGGTGTCCTTTGCTTCTACACATCGCACAGTATATGTCGCTTTCCACCCTCAACATTACCCACGTTGGTAAATTTGTGGAAGTTTGTCTTGACCATTATTTTGGCGCGGCTTGAAGGCCTTCTGGGTTGGATAGAACTTCTATTAGCTGAGGCTTGTCGACTACTTAATTCCTTTTATTATTAATAATACTATCATTCTTATTATTGGCGATGCAACAGCAAACATCCTCAGCTATGCACTTATTGCTGGTAACACGCATTACAAGGGTAGAGTTGGGTAACTTCACCTAAATTTCTGGTTTCAGTTTCTTGAGATGGCATTATTAAATCTGTGATTAATCTTTATCGTTATGTCCATATAAGAGTACACAAACAAAGCTAACCCGCCCGCATCTGTGATAAATCTGTGGAATCAAGGGAGCTGTTGCGACCAGACAGATTCCTTTTTGCCAGCACATATTCAAATGTCAATGCTTTAAACGCTACCCCTATTTTTTATTGCAGGCGTCTGAGTGCTTTGTTGAACCTAAGCGTCGAAATCCAGAAAAAAAAAACATTAATATTCATGTGTTTGTCATACAAAAAGAAAGAAATTTGCAGCAACATGAGCTTAATTTGGGCAGTACAACTACATTATCACCAAAGAAAGAAAGAGAGAAAATTATGCAATGCGGCTCCGTTCTTGCGACGTTATTAGTCATTTTCAACGCAAGGTACACAGAATACACCACTAGAATTTAGTTATTATTTTTTTTAATAAAAAGTATATTTAGAAGGTGTACAATTTATGTGGGGATGCAAATAAATAGTAAATACAGCAATCCAGGTCACATGAGATCCAATCCACATCCTAAGTGGCCTGGGCTTAAACCATTATAGTGAAAAGAATATACTCCAGTGGTGGAACCGGTTGAGCTCAGGTGTGCTCCTTTTACACAGATGCCACGAGATGGTGCCACTTCCGCATTTTCTAGCAGCTTTGGCTGCACTGTAGGACTATCGTAGGATCCTTCAAACTTTTAGCTGCGGTTAATTTTAACTCTTGTCTTTGCATTCTGCCAAACAGCCAACTTGCTGACTCTCTCGTTCGGAGCTATCATTTTGGCCATATATATATATATATATATATATATTTTAATATTTTCCACACGCTTTCATAACATTTTAAGCACGTGCAGCCTATTTATTTACTCATTGTAAAGGACTGCCTGATTTTTTTGCCGCTTCTGAGTCTTGTTTCCAGTGCGCAGAGTTTTCCAAGCAGACGTGTGTGACGGCCATGGAATTTGCTTCAAATCATCATAGAAAACCTGGAAAGGTCAGGGAATTTCGAAAAAGCAAATTGGTAGACATTCTGTAATGAAAGCATCTTGGCGTCGTTACACTAGTCAAAACAAATTTGACATTATAATTATGCATGCCGCGTTTCTTGCCTCAACTTGTAGTTATCGACCTCCTAGTAACAATTAACTACTGATAATGCAAAGGAGGGGCGAATAAATATCTCTCATATTTATTTGTAGCACCAGTATCGCACGTGATTTAAAATGAATGCTAAGCCTGCCAATTCGTAGCGCTGCCACCTCGTGCGGTCAC